GCAAGTGCAGGGGCACCTTCCACTAGACCAGGTTGCACAAAGCTCTGTCCAACCTGGCTTTGAACACCCCCAGGGAGGGGGCATCCACAGCTTCTGTGAGCAACCTGTGCCAGTGCCTTGCCCACCCTAATCATAAAGAATTGATTCCTAATGTCTTACCTAAATCTACCCTCTTCCAGTTTAAAACCATTACCCCTTGTCCTATCACTACACACCCTGGTAAAAAATTATTCTCATTTCCTTTGCCATTTTAACTTCCTTCAGTTGAAAAATGGTAGTAGGAAGTATTTACCTTCCACCTTTCCCTCCCCAGTCTTAAAAAAACAAAGCCTGAAGACTTGATACACCTTAGACATAACTGCCTAAGGACTTTAGTATATATGTGTGAACTATACTAGGCTTGCTTTTGAAGCCTCTTCCTATAGCTTTGGCTTCTATGGTAGCAGTAACTCTTCAGAAACATGCTTGTAGGCATTAATGATAGCAAACTTAGCAGCAGAATGCCTATAATAATGAAAAACTAGGTTTAGGAACTAATGCCAGCCTTGCATTAAATTTGTCCCCTAGCAGCCTTCTGCAATTTAAACTGCCTTTCTGTTTGTCCTTTACTTAACAGCTTCTGAATTGAGTAATTAAACTTCACAAATTAAATTCTGAGTAGCAGTGGTATTAGGCAAAAAAGAAAAGCAGTTATTTATGGAAAGATGGTTTACAGATGATGTTTTTACTGCTTGATTGCTGTTAGAAGTAAGGCTATTTGGAGTCCTCACCAGTGAATCTGACTAAACTTGCTAATGAGTAAAACATACTTAGATGCTTGCTTTGATAGCAAGTGTGGTGGGAAGGGGTGTGGTGCTATTAGCACCACCAAGTATAGATGGATGGTGTTAGCAGTCCCTTTGAAGAGCAGGAATTTACAGCTTTTAATATCTTGCAGTACAAGTGATAAATAAAGTCAGTGCTGCTCATGATATTCTCTTGGGCTTTTTTAGCTCAGGGATGTTTAGAGGGAAAAGGGTGTCTGGTGACTAGTTGTAATCTCCTTCAGATGACTTCAAGGGGATCTACCAAGTGCAGTATTTTTTCCATCAAGAAGTGGACGCTGAAGACAGCTTAATCCCAGTTTTGATCAGAATTGCTGCTGGAAAGAACTGTGAGGTTGGAGTTCTGGGTCTAGAAAATAACACATAAACCAGAGACCTCTCTTGGTTCTTACTAGTATAGTTCCAACATGCAAATGTACTGTACTCAGGATAGAACTAAGGCTACAGGAGAGCTTTAGCTCTAGATGTGCAGTGACCTAAAGCCAGAAAAATAGCGGCATGAGCTAGCAACAACAGTAGCTTTCAGTGCCAGAACACTGCAGGTGTTTGAAACAAAAACTATCCAAAGGTAATAAAATAACAGTGCTACCATCCCAGTTCCTGTCATGCACCATTAGCCAGCTGTTTGTGCCATTGTGAATCTGTACAGGTGCCTAATACCAGACTTTATATAGGGTGCTGGCTTCAGACTGCTTTGAGTGGGAAGAAGAGGATATGCCAACAGAAGGAATGACTTCTACACTTCTCATGGAGAAGTGAAGTGCTTTTATGAAATGACCTTGAGTTTTATCTGGATGTCCTTTTCCTGGAAGGTGAATATCCATGGAATAATCTTTCCAAAGATATGTAGGTTTTCACCTGATTCTCTTACAATTCAGTGGTATGGTGCAAAAATGTGAGGAGCTTTCCAGACACTAGAAAGGGGCTTCTTGATGCAATCCCATTGTCTTTACAGTGTTAACATGAGATCACACTTGTTTCTCTGCCTAAAGGAAATTTCCTGGGCAGTATATCTAGAGGAAGTTGTACTGCTTTCTACCACTGAGTTCAAACTGATGCAGATATTTTGATTTTTATTTTAATCAGATGAAAAAGCATTCAGAATTTTAAAGGTAAAACCCTGTGGATTTAGCCAAGAAAAATCTTTAGGAGGAATCTAAGTTGCTGTGTTGCACTCAGGTTTGGACTGGAAGTTGTTTAATAAGGGTAGATGAGTCTTCTGCATCCTGGAGGTCCTGGTTCTCCATCTCCTAACACTGTGTACCTTGCCATATCAAAGCAAAATCACTGGAGACACAGGAGAGTATAACCCAGCTAGAAGTAGCTTTCTAGTGTAAACTGAGTGTTGCTGTATGTCATCCTGCCTCAGGACAAGTCCTGCAACTTTCTGTTCTGTTTATGTCTAATACTGGTAACATCTCAGCTGTCTTGTCTGAACTTCATATATTTTAGGAAGCACCAGCTCTGTGGGAGTTGCCAGTGCCTGATGAGAAATGAGACTGATGAAGACTTGTCTGGTTTTTGTTTAGTTTAACATTGGGATTTTTCCAAAAGGTAGATGTGCTGAGGTTAATTGCCTCACAACTTCAAGCAAGCAGTAGCACTGTTATTAAGCAGCAATTGTGGTGTTAAATAGCAGTGTCCAAGAACAGTAAGTGCTACACAGTATTTCACACAGGACAGCAATAAGTGCCTAATCTTTTAACTCTTCTGAACTGCTTTTGTGCATACTTTCTTCAGGAAAAATCAAACAGTGCACTTCCTGGTCCAGCAGTACTCCTCAGGATCCCAAAAGAAACAGGAATTACAAGAGCCCAGTGTATGACCTGATAAGAGAAAGCTTTGTCTCAAGACAGATGTCTGCATCCTTAGAGCCCTGAATCTCCCTCAGATAGGAACTTAACAGACCTGCCTGTATTTCCCAGGTCAAACTGAGATCAGCTGTGGCAGTTAAAAAAGTGTGTGGGAGAAATAACTTCTGTTACAGTACAGCTTGATATAGGTCCAGGGAATGGTAATGTGCCAAGTTTCATACCTTATATAGCTGATTCAGTCTACTCACTTGAAAGTCTGGCAGAGGGATAGCATTTGCAATGTTAGTTTCCAGTATGAAAAGCAATTTTGTAGGTGACAGTAACTGTTTAGTTCTAATATAAGGTCATGTGCTGCACCAAATGTCTGAAGAGAAACACTGCTAGTTAGTGGTTGTTGCTGCTAGCAACTGTGCAAGCTGCAGAAGCGGGCTTAATGTGGTCATGCAGTGCCTGTACAAGAAGCAAGGTAAAGCATCTTTTATGCCACTGGCTGAATCAAGCAGTGCTGCAGTTCAGACATGCCCTGAGGAAAATAAACTTCATGAGAATCACTCTTAATCATGCTCAGCTGATCACCCTGTGTTGACTAAGCACTGCAGAACTAAAAGGATCATTACAAAAATGCTACACCTCCAGCTGCAGTAGGCATGTAGCTTTGCTGAGGATGTGTGGTGTGATTAGTTTTGTTTTTCTGGGTCAAAATCAGGTCTGCAGGACTTGGTTAAATCAGGTACAACAAAAGCTATTGGTTGCTGTAGTTTACATGGCTGGAAATGCAGTCAGTGTGTAGCTTAGTTATGTGATGCTAGATCCCAATGACATGCATGCTGAACTTATCTTTAGTGGATGTGTCCTTGCTGAAATGGCTGTGGCAGTGTGCATAGGTCTGCCGTTCCATTATGACCTTCAGGCTCAAGGTTGTTTAAGATTGGATTTCTCCTGAGGAGTTTATATGAAGATGCTGCTGTTGCAGCTGAGTAACTGCAACAAGGATGGTGAAGAAGAGCCTTTCCTGGAAAGGTATGTGGCCCTCAACAGACTGCCACAGCAGCCAGAAGATATCCCTATTATTCCATTGCTGGTTGGTGGCTATGTGTTAGCTGAAATGCAAATGTTATTCTGCACTTGCAGGATTATATCTGAGGTACCTGAAATTGTAGTATTGAGCCCTAACCTGATGCTTGCAGCAGGACGGTCAAGATGTGTTCCTAGGCTGGATTGGCTCTGGTCTCTACTGAAGTCTTCCATGAGTTTCTGTCTTGGTAGAGCTAGGGTAGTAGGGGGGAAAAAACTTAATCAATGACTGACTTTGTCTTCTGTCCCAGTTGAAGTGGAGGAATGTAAAGCTACTAACTTTGTGAACAATAAATGAAATTTAAGACGAGGCTCACAACTCATTAAATAATACTGTGAATTTGGAAGTAGCAAGACATTCCCTATACATCTTTGTCTTCTCTGCAGCAGAATAAAATAGTCTTGGAGCTGCTCCTCTCCCATCTTCCTGCCTGCTGTTTCTGTTTCCACTTCAGCTGCAGTCCTAACATACTACCTTGCTTTTGTGGTTTGTTAGTCTCCAGTAAGTCTAGCTCTACCTGCTTCTTATGAAAAACACATTAACCAACATATGTTGTTTTTATCAGCACCATGAGTAACTAATTACCGTGTAATCAGCCCTTCTTAAACAGAACAGTGTTATGGACAGGCTTACAGTAGTGCATTAGTATTCCAATTACCTTTGCAATTAGCTTACCAATCCTGGAGGTGTTAGTATGTAAGAAAGATGTTTGTAAATTAATTTTTTTAAAGAGTCACATTTCTGACTCTTAAATGTACTACTTCTGTAGGATTCCTTGAGGAGGACTAACTGCTACCCTCTCATGGGTTTGAGAGCTCACTCATTATTTTTCATGTGTACTAAATAGTCTTAAGTCTCTGTACTAAACTGTATAGTGTCCATACTGTCTGTTATGTGTCTTATCTTTCTGTCTCTAGTAAAAATTGTTACCTCTTAGCAAGCAGACGTGCTATCTTGACAGGTGTGTCAAGAGCTGAATTAAGTCTAGCTTTCATTTGCTTTAGCTTGATGTAGAAAGCTGACCTGCATCTTCAAAAGCAGTTTGTTGAAGAAATAGCTTAAAATGAGTAAGGACCGCAGGAGTGTGAGAAGCTTAAAGCACTGAATTCAAGAGGGTCATGTGCCATCATGAAGGATACAAACAAGTATAATGCTGCTGAATACAGTAAAACTGCACAGCTTCATTAAATGTCTTTTTTCCAGTGCAGGAGTTTGAAGATGCTGCATGCCTGATCCTGAGGACAGAATATTCTGCTTAAAGAAGTCAGACCATCTGAAATACTGACCATGTCTTTTAGAGATCCTACCACCTCCACTGGATTGGTGACTGTTATTGTCATTCTGATAGCTCTTGCATCTCTTGGTGCCTTGATACTTGGCTGCTGGTGTTACCTGCGTCTGCAGAGGATCAGCCAGTCTGAAGATGAAGAAAGCATTGTGGGTGAAGGAGAAACCAAAGAGCCCTTTCTTCTGGTGCAGTACTCTGCTAAAGGACCTTGTGTAGAGAGGAAAGCTAAGCTAACTCCGAATGGCACAGAAGTACACAGCTAACTAGAAGCAGCGCATGTATATGGACTATGCTTATGATGTGTGCTACCAGCAGATGAACCTGGATACTGTGAAGAACCTGGTCACATGCACACTGCTCATCAGAAGACACCCTGATGAGAATTAAATATGCTTTGTTTGCAACTGCACGCACTGAGAAGTTGCACTTTGCACCTAATTCCTCTGACACCTGGTGTAATGTCCATTGCTGGCAATGGACACAGGGATATATGGGTGTGAAGATACCACTAGCATTATTTGTTACTTGAATGTTTAGCTGAGCCTATGTTGATGGAGCTACTACTGTAATGTGAACTAATTTACAACTGTGAACTGTAAATAGGCTGCCAGAAGCTTTCTGCTGTGTGTTCCACAGCATATGGGAATAACATGATGCCAATCTACATAATGAGGGGACTGATGAACCACAACTGTAGATAGGATTCCAGACTTCCAAAACCAAATCTGCAGTTAAGGCTTGCTTCTGCTAACTTGAGTGCACAGCCATAGAGTCAGAACTCCTACTCTTAAATTTACTGGACTGATGCAGAGTACTTTCTTTGAAAAGAAGGTAGAAGCCTTCAGTAACATGCTGAGGGAGGAAACACAGGAGTTACAAGAAAGGAAGTTGTTTTCTTTAGTTGCAGCTAGGTAGGTTAAGCTTTTAGCTGTTAGTAATGAGTTCTCTTAACTATGTAGCTACTGCAAGGAAACTGCCATTTTGATGGATTCCAACCTGGGAATTAATGATGGACACTGAACTCTCAGAGATGGTCCAGAAGGTTTCCAGGAGTTTGAAATGGCAGTAGAGCAGGCTCTTCTCTTCTGTAGGTCTGCATGCACAAACTGCAGAAGTGGTTACTTACCAAAACTGGCATAAGTGCAACTAGTATGAATTTTTCCTAGAACCCCTGTTTGTGTATGTAAGTTAGGGTATATGTTAACAGCCTGTTGTAAAAAAGCATTTTAGTCTATACTCAACTGTAGAATTCAGTTAATCGTATCTTGTAGATAACTCTTGGTTTAACTGTGCTACCACAAGATGAGTTTCAGTCTTTCCTACAAAATCAAATGTTGATATGGAAAAGGGAGATTGCTGGTCAGCTTGTTTTTAGTTTTTAGCTAGCAAATAAGGAACTGTAAAAAGGTGTTAAAGGGGAAGTTCTGGACTTTAAAGACTTGGGGGGTGGGGAGAGGAGGCAGAAGGGGGAGAAGAAACACTGAAGCACCATTGGCAGCTTACATATTCTAAAACTTGGGGCAGGCACACATGCTTTCAGGCCACTGACCTATTTCATATGACTTAATACAGCTTCCTTTGCCTACTGAAACTTTTAAGCACTTAATTGCTTACGAGAAAAAAGCTACTGTAAATCTGCTCGCTAAGATAGGTTACAAATAGTGAAGTTCTTCAGCTCTATAGGAAGCATTAGACTTGCTTCTTGTACCTATACATATGGAATAAGTAATTAATGCTGTCAGTAGCAAAAAACCTCCTGCTGTTGCCTCTTGAGTACAATACAGAGTACAGCTGATAAAGGGCTGTTCTTCATCTGGCACACGTTTTTTTTAAAAATCCATACACTTAAAATTGCTGTGTTCTAGACCTTTTGCAAATAAAGGAGAAAAGGAATAATTCAGTAAGACTTTCTTTAGTTTTCAGCAGAGAACAGTTCACACATGGCTCTTACAGGTTTCAAGACAGCCTGATAACTGGTATACAAAAGTGATACAAAGTGCTGAAGTTCTAGAACAGAATAGTTGTAGCAAGATGAATTTGTTCCTTCAAGTTTACTGATTGCACAGATGAAGTATCTCTATTTTAATGCAGCAAAGAGAACACAGTCTAAGGGGCAAACTTCAGAAATAATGGAAAAGTATAAATCAAAGGTCTGATTTCTCCATCTGTAAGAGAGCCAGTAAAAAAGAACTGGTCCTTAGTCAGAGATGCTTCATACTGCTGCCCCTAAAAATCAGCATCTTGAATTTATATGGATAGGTGTTTGCAAGTTAGTGCAATAATAAAGTGCAGAAAGTGTTTTTCATTCTCCTCGTCTCATTAGACATGGGTATCACAAGTTGTTCAAGTATACAAAAATATCCCATTTGATTTTTTTTAGATCATGTGGGGGAAGATGTCTTTATTTACAATGAATTTCAATAAAATTTGCATAAATATCTATCCAATACTGTATCATTTGACTTTGTGTAAGCAATCATTCTGTCCTGTTGCCACTACTGTGCTCTGTGGTATCAGTATTATCAATCCTTTTTTCCTCTGATGTGGCAGTAGCTGTTGAAACTGATGCATCGTTATCTTCAGAAAGTGTTTGCTCTGACTGAAGGGAGCTTTTCATTTCATCTTTGCTCTGTAGCTTTCCTTCCCTTGATGCCACCAGGATTCTCAGTAAAGTATTTTCTTTTAGGAGGTTTTCTGATGCATCAGCTAATTCTTGAAGCTTTTCAGCCATTTCTAATAATTCCTGGTTCTTCTGCTCGTATGTGGCCTGTAACTGCTCACTGTGGAGCTGCAGAGTCTTGTGCTGCTTTTCCAGTGTGTGTTTTTGCTGCTGTAGTCTGTGTTCCTCTCTTCTAGCTTCAAAAAGCTGTGCTTCAAGCTGGTCATGGGCCTGATGAAGGGCACTGATTTCTGACCTTAACTTCTGAATTTCTCTCTCTAAGTGGGAGATGTGTCCTTGCTGTAGAACTCTTTCTTTATGTAGGCATTCTTTGGTACAAGACTCTGATGAAGAGAGACTTGAGTGATGCAAAATAAATTTAAGGAGATTAGGAAGGTTAACTGAAAAGTCTTCAGGGAACTTCACACTTTGTTCCTTCCTAGAAAGACATAGCAAATTAATATTAGAACATTCAGATAAATAAACAATTTTATCTAAGCATCTGCTGTTCAACTCCTAACTTGGTAACTTTGGGTTTTTTAATCAATAATTGTTAGTAAAGCGACTAAAGGAAACCTGAACTCATGTAATGAAGACAGAGCACATAGTACTTCTCTTTAATGAATGCTTTAACTGTATTCCTGTCTGGGTGCTGTAAGCATCTCTGCACTGGCTTGGCATTTCTCTGAGAGAAAAATTTTCTGACAGATTTCAGGAAAAAAGTTTCTTAAAGTATCTTGGTTATGAGCCTGAAGGACATAAGGTAGCATCCCTGTTTGGGAGGTGTGGTCAGGGTGCACTAATGGGAACATTTGATACAATGAAGGAGAGCACTAATTCTATGTACTTCATTAGAAATTACGTGCAGATGTATAAAGCTATCTGATGGGAAACATTATTCTGAGCCCATGTTATCCTGGAAGATGAAGCTTAATGTGCTCTAACATCAGAAGGGGACTGCAAGGAGCAGAGAAACTGTTTTTAAACAGGAAGCATTCACTTCAGTCAGAAGCAAGAACCTTTTGCTGTCAAGTTCCTCTTTGTCATTATGCCACTGAGGTGATCAAGGAAGCAAACCAAACAAGTTAGGTTTTTAATTTTTTTTTCTTTTACCCTGAAGCTCATGATATGGCTGTGAGTGCTAAGCCCAGCAGATGAAGAGGTAGGCCCATTGCTTTCTGCAACTGCATAAACGGTTACTTTTAACCTGACAGAAAAGTCCAAGCTATATGAAGACCAACAAGCACCAAATTTATTCCTCAAGACTAACCACTGAAAGACACCTACAACCTCCAGCTATGTCAAATGTTAAAATTATTGCCCTCTCTGGACTGGCTGCATACTTCCATCACAAAACATAGGAGGCTAAACTGTCCCCTGAGGACTCAACAGGAACTAATTCTTGATCTTAGACCAGTAAAGTCTTCAACCTTTCACTCAGTGTGTCCCAGTATAACATGAGTTTGCTGCCTCCTGACTATTGCAGTAGAGCTACTTATACTTCCAACTACTAGTTTATCACTTGGTAACATCTTTAGCCTTCACCAGTCAGCAGCTTAGTTTACTTCCCTTTGGTTGCCAAACTTGTAACCAGATTACTGTTACGCAGCATACAGTCAGACATGGGTTAATTACACAGGTCAGAAAAAGGACACAGGATAAATGTATCAGAAAAGCTAAAAGGTTATTTAAAAAGAGTTAATTGTCTCATAAGGCAAATGTGTAAGAAGCTGCACAGAAAGTCTTAATGAGATACGCCTTCTATCCGAAATTAATATATGGCTACTCTAGTAGTGCTGATAATACAAATACTATGAAAACTTAATCTTGATTACCTAGATGCAGCAAAATGTAAAACACACTGTACAGGAAAATCAGGAAACAAAACAACAACTAGAGATAAAGTATCTTTATGAAACCAGCTGGAACATTACAAAACCAATCTTAGTAAGACTATTAAGCCTGTTACTCCAAAAACAGTCTAGAGCTGCTTTATATATAAGAGACCAAGCAAAATGGTAATCTACCAAAAGAAACAGGAAACACACAGTTCCTTTTATTACTGGCCCACTCTTTGTGCTTTTCTCTACCTCACCTTCCTTGCTTTTTTTTGTTCATCCATTCATGAATCAATTCCCTTTCTCCAGCTCAGCTCTTTCATTATCCCAAAAATTATTCTCAATCTTAGTTCTCTACTTGAAACTACACTTCCCTATTCTACACTCTAATTCCTTGGCTCTTTTTCTGAGGTCTTGCTTGCTGTATATAGTTTCACTTCAACAGCATGAACACCTTGTTTTACTGCTAATGTCCTTTGGATATCTTTCTCTGTAGGTGTTAAACTGCTACTGAAGCTTCATTTGTTTTCTTTTAAAGAAACAACACAAGGCTTCTCAAATGCCAAAAATCTGCAGCTGCTGCTGCATTTCTCCTTCACAGATTAAGTCCATGGTTATACTTCCAAAGGATGCATAAGGCCCTCCTTTACTACTCAGATTCTCTACTTTTTGAAGGCAGTTTTTTTATTTTAAAAACAACCTAACAATCTGTCTCCTCTTCCTCTGTAATGTCAGGATTAAGTTTTTGCTTTTAAAAAATATTAAG